CAAAGAAGTTCACATTTCTAGTTACTAGGGGTTAAGACTCCAAAGTATCTTTTTTTTTTAAATTGCAGTATAGTTAATTTGCAATGCTCTGTTAGTTTCAAGTGTACAACAAAGTGATTCAGTTCTACATATGTATCCTTTTTCAGATTCTTTTCCATTATAGGTTATTACAAGATTTCAAATATAGTTCCCTGTGCTATACAGTAGGACCTTATTGTTTATCTGTTTTAGATATAGTAGTGTGTACATTTTAATCCCGAACTCCTAATGTAACCTCCCCCTCCCTCTGCCCCCACCCCTCGGGATCCCCTTTGGTAGCCATAAGTTTGTGTTCTATGTCTGTGAGTCTGTTTCTGTTTTGTAAATAAGTTCATTTGTATCTTTTTTTCTTTTTTAAGATACTGCATATAAGTGATATCATACGGTATTTGTCTTTCTCTGTCTGACTTACTTCACTTAATATGATAATCTCTAGGTCTCCCCATGTTGCTGCAAATGGTGTTATTTCATTCTTTTTTTTATGACTGAGTAATAGGTACCACATCTTCTTTATCCAGTCATCTGTCATGGGATAGCTAGATTGCTTCCATGTCTTGACTATTGTAAATAGTGTTGGTATGAACATTGGGGTTCATGTGTCTATTTGAATTAGAGTTTTCTCCAGATATATACCCAGGAGTGGGGTTGCATGACCATATATTAACTCCATTTTAGTATTTAAAGTAACCTCCATACTGCTCTCCTTAGTGGCTGCACCAGTTTACATTCCCACCAAAGTGTAGGAGGGTTGATTTTTCTCCACACCCTCTCCAAAATTTATTATTTGTAGACTTTTTAATGATGGCCATTCTTATTGGTGTGACATGGTACCTCACTGTAGTTTTGATTTGCACCTCTGTAATCATTAGCGATGTTGAGCATCTTTTCATGTGCCTGTTGGCCATCTGTAGGTCTTCTTTGGAGCAGTATCTATTTAGGTCTTCTGTCCATGTTTTGATTGGGTTGTTTGTTTTGTTGATATTAAGCTGTATGAGCTCTTTGTATATTTTGGAAATTAATCCCTTGTGAGTAGCATCTTCTGCAAATATTTTCTCCCATTCTGTAGGTTGTCTTTTTGTTTTGTTCATGGTTTCCTTTGCTCTGCAAAAGCTTTTAAGTTTAATTAGGTCCCACCTGTCTATTTTTGTTTTTATTTCCGTTACTCTAGGAGAGGATCCAAAACGATATTGCTGCCATTTATGTCAAAGAATGCTCTGCCTATGTTTTCCTCTAGGTGTTTAATAGTGTCCAGTATTACATTTAGGTCTGTATGCCATTTTCAATTTACGTTTGTTTATGGTTTAGAGAGTGTTCTGATTTCATTCTTTTATATGCAGCTGTCCAGTTTTCCAAGCACCACTTACCGAAGAGACCGTCTTTTCTCCATTGTATATTCTTGCCTTGTTTGTCGTAGATTAATTGACCATAAGTTTGTGTGTTTATTTCTGGGCTTTCTATCCTGTTCCATTGATCTATATTTCTGTTTTTGTGCCAATATCATACTGTTTTGACTGTAGCTTTGTAGTAAAACCTGAAGTCAGGTAGCGTGATTCCTCTGCCTCTGTTCTTATTTCTCAAGATTGCTTTGCCTCTTAGGGGTCTTCTGTGTTTCCATACAAATTTTAAAATTATTTGTTCTAGTTCTGTGAAAAACGCCATTGGTAATTCGATAGGTATTGTGTTGAATCTGTAGATTGTCTTGCATAGTATGGTCATCTTAACAATATAGATTCTTCCAGTCCAAAACACAGTATATCTTTCCATCTGTTTGTGTTGTCTTCTATATCTTTTATCAGCATCTTACAGTTTTCAGAGCACAGGTCTTTGCCTCCTTAGGTAGGTTTATTCTTAGGTAGTTTATTCTTTTTGGTGCTGTAGTTAATGGGATTGTTTCTTTAATTTCTCTTCTGATATTTCCTTGTTCATGTATAGAAATGCAACAGATTTCTGTAAAGTAATTTTGTACCCTGCAAATTTATGGAATTCATTAATGAACTCTAGTAGCTTTCTGGTGGTGTCTTTAGGATTTTCTATGTATACTTCATGTCATCTGCAAACAGTGAGAGTTTTACATCTTCTTTTCCAGTTTGGATTCCTTTAGTTTCTTTTTCCTGTCTGGTTGGTGTGGCTAGGACTTCCAAAACTATGTTGAATAAAAGTGGTGAGAGTGGGCATTCGTGTCTTGTTTCTGAACTTAGTGGAAATGCTTTCAGCTTTTCACTGTTGAGAATGATGTTAGCTGTGAGTTTGTCATATATGGCTTTATTATGTTGAGATATGGTCCCTCTATGCCCACTTTCTGAAGAGTTTTTATCATAAATTGATGTTGAATTTTATGAAAAGCTTTTTCTGCATGTATTGAGCTGATCATATGGTTTTTATTTTTCAGTTTGTTAATGTGACGTATCACATTGACTGATTTCTGAATATTGAAAAATCCTAGCATCCCTGGGATAAATCCCCTTGATCATGGTGTATGATCATTTTAATGTATTGTTGGAGTTGATTTGATAGTATTTTGTTGAGGAATTTTGCATCTATGTTCATCAGTGATATTGGCGTGTAAATTTCTTCTTTTTTTTTTAATGATATCTTTATCTGGTTTTGGTGTCAGGGTGATGGTGGCCCCATAGAATGAGTTTGGAAGTGTTCCTTCCCCTGCATTTTTTTCTGGAATAGTTTCAGAGAATGGGTGTTAACCCTCCTCTAAATGTTTGGTAGAATTCACCTGTGAGGCCTTCTGGTCCTGGACTTTAAAGTTTCTGATTCAGTTTCAGTACTGGTAATTGGTCTGTTCATATTTTCTGTTTCCTCCTGGTACAGGCTTGGTACCTTCCTAAGAATTTGTCCGTTTCTTTGTCCATTTTATTGGTGTATAGTTGCTTGTAGTAGTCTCTTATGGTCCTTTGTATTTCTCTGGTGTCAGTTGTAACTTCTCCTTTTTTATTTCTAAGTTTATTGATTTGAGTCCTCTCGCTTTTTTTTCTTGATGAGTCTGGCTAACAGTTTGTCAATTTTGTTTATCTTTTCAAAGAACCAGCTTTTAGTTTCATTGATCAGTAGGGAAGCATTAACGACTTTCTTACATGGGTGGGGGGGGGCAGTTTCCTAAAGTGGACAAGTCAATATTTAAATTTAATTCAGAAGGAAACCATGCCAAATGACAACTATTTTCTTTTTATGGCTGTTCCTATTTGCCTTATATATTGAGGTACACCTATGTTGGGTGCATATATATTTACAATTGTGATATCTTCTTCTTGGATTTATCCCTTGATTGTTATGTAGTGTCTTCTTTGTGTTTTGTAACAGTCTTTATTTTAAAGTCTATTTGTCTGATATGAGTATTGCTACTCCAGCTTTCTTTTGATTTCCATTTGCATGAAATACCTTTTTTCAACTTCTCACTTTCAGTCTGTGTGTGTCCCTATATCTGAAGTGGGTCTCTTGTAGACAGTGTATATAAGGGTCTTGTTTTCGTTTCCATTCACTCAGTCAGTGACTTTTGGTTGGAGCATTTATTCTGTTTATGCTTAAGGTAATTATGGATATGTATGTTCTTATTGCCATTTTATTAATTGTTTGGGGTTTGTTTTTGTAGGTCATTTTTCTCCCCTTCCTCTTTTTCTCTTCTCTTCTGATTCGATGACTAATTTTAGTATTGTGGTTGGATTCCTTTTTCGTTTTTGTGTGTGTATCTATTGTAGATTTTTGGTTTGAGGTTACCATAGGTTTTGATAGAGCAGTCTTTATATAAACAAGATTGTTTTAAGTTGCTGGTCTTTTAATTTCAAATGCATTCCAATATCCTGCATTTGTGCTCTTTTCTTCTCATGATTGCTGATTTTGCTATCATATGTGTTTGTGGATGATTTCCTATGTTTGCTGTATGTTCGCCTTTACCAGTGAGCTTTTCCATTCATCATTTTCTTGTTTCTAGTTGTGGCCTTTTCGTTTCTGCCTAGAGAAGTTCCTTTAGCATTTGTTGCAAAGCTGGTCTGGTGGTGCTGAATTCTCTTAGCTTTTGCTTGTCTGTAAACTTTTGATTTCTCCATTGAATCTGCATAAGAGCCTCTGCTGGCTAGAGTATTCTGGGTTGTAGGTTCTTACCTTTCATAACATTAAAGATATCATGCCACTCTTTTCTGGCCTGTAAAGTTTCTGTTGAGAAATCAGCTGGTACCCTTATGGGAATTCCCTTGCATGTTATTTGTTGCTTTTCTCTTGTTGCTTTTAATATTTTTTCTTTGTCCTTAATTTTTGTCAATTTGATTACTGTGTCTTGGCGTGTTCCTCCCTGGGTTTATCCTGCCTGGGACTCTCTGTGCTTCCTGACAACTGTTCATTTTAGGTCAACTTGAAAGAGCCATATTGATTCCCACCAGGACCAAACGCTGCAGCTCATTCATATGCTGGGAAAATACTAACTGTGATGGAAATGTTTACATACACAAGGATGGCGAGAATGACAGTGACATAAACTTCCTAGTTCCTTAAAGGACCTGATGACCTTACAAGGATGGGGCTTGGAATGCTGGTAAATTGTTATACAGCAATAGAAAATGGATACAGGGTATTTATGATACTGTCCTAATGAGATCCCATTCTTGTACATATTACATGTACATGCATAGAAAACATCTAAAAGGATGGATATGAATGTTGGGGGTGAGACACCCAGTGGCTTTTACTTTATTCCTTATACTTACTGGGTTGTTTGAAAAAAATTAAGTGAGCATATATTTAATAATCAGATGGGGAAAATAAAGATCTTAAAGGTGAGAAAGAAAATCATTACAAGTATATCCTAAGTACCTCAAAGGAGTCTAGTAGATTGAAATTATGTAACTGATAAGAACGTGCTTTTGAAAGTTGTGTAGTTTCATAAAAATACAATGTAGTACCTTTTTCTCAGTCCTTAATCTCTCCTCCTTACTTAGAATAATAGGCAGACGTTTAGGTATGTTTAGATTCAGAATTTTATTTTAAATAGATTTCTGTGCCATAACATAATGTCTGTGATACTTTTACTAAAAATTATGTATAATGGTCAAATTCTAACAATTTTTGCAACAAGCTCTCATTACATTTTCTTCAAAATAGGAGAAGTTCACATTACATACCATTTTGAACATGATTGTTTGCTTACAAATAATTTACTGTAAAAATGTTATTTTCAAAGAAAATTTATGGGAAATGATAAAGCAACTATAAAAGTCTTTACAATAAAATCCAGGATAAAAATATTTTTTTGTGGATTGAAAATTTATCAACATGTATATGTGGATTATAAATATATTTTGGCAATCTGATGCATTCAAGGGCACTTTAAAAGTTGTCTAGTTAAATTACTACAGATATGACGTATTTGGTGAAACCCAATCTGTAAGTCTGACACCAACAATCATTTCTTCCTGCTAAAACATAGAAATAATTTATCTGAAAACCGTGAGTGCTATGAAGAGTTCTATTTCTTCATAAAGATTCCTTTATAAGTTGGGCTAATCCTTGGAAGGCCTAAAAACGAACAGAGAGAAGAATTAATAAAATTCGGATGCTGTTTAGGAAAAGTCTGTCATAACTTGAGAAATTTAAACAAAGAGTATCCATCTTAGGTTGAGATCAGACAGTGAAAAGTCAGGATTAACCTCAGTTTTATCTGGGTCAGAGGCCGTCATGTCCACTAATATACGTAGACGGAAGCACATCAGAGGCCCAGAAAATTTTTCAAATCCTTATTCCCTCAAGATCATCATCTTCTCCCAGAACACGAATTATCTTTTTCATATACTCTCTCACCTGCACATGCCTTCTGTATAGTTTCAGCTGTCCAGCTCTATGCATATATAACTTATGAAAAGCATATTTAATGACATGAGAAAGCAAGTCAATCAAGAACACAGCCGGAGACAGCCCATCTCCAAGGATAAGTATACACTCTTCTTACACTTCCTGGACTCTTCAGTTTATGGCTCTTCTGTGGGTTCCCGACACACAGTTCTTAGGAACTTGCTTCTTGGTTTCCTGTAATCCTGGTTAAAGCTGGACTTTGTGATTAAGCAATTACTTAACTCTAATCATTCATGTTATTCTATTTGACCCTTCCTCAAGAGATAGAGATGGATGGCTTCATGAATTTGTACTATGGCTCATGTTAATTCTATGAAGAAATGAAAGAGTTTCTCTTTTTAACGTGTTGATAATTTGCCAACACTGTTGAACAGGTCTGTCATGTATTCATGAAAGCAATAAAATTCAACTCCAATTTGGTCGCATCATTTGTCTATAGAAGCCTGGCAACTTCTCTGAATGGTCGTTTGTGACTTTCCAACCAATACCCATTTTGCAGAAACCCAAGAAGATATCAAATAATGTTGTAACTCACAAAATGAACACAAAAAATAAATGGACATCTACTTTTACTCTAAAGAGAATATTGTACTCACCATGTCCATCTGCTCTGGAGAAGCTAAAGAGAAGGATGCTCTGAAGTAGGGGCAAGGAGCTGAACTATCAAGGTAGAAATGATATCCAGGAAGCATGAATATCTAAGAGAGTTTATGGAAAACAGGTGATGTACCATTAAAGAAAACTAAAAGAAAATATAGGTGAATCTAATCTCAGAGTGGAGGATGACTTTTAAACTTAAAAAGCAGTGAAAGAAATCACAAGAGAAAAATCAATTTATATAAAATTACTGCATGTCATATAATAAAACTAAAAGCATAGAAACCAGTGTTTACAATAAATACAGCAATTCTACCTCTTCTCCATATATTATAAAGAATGCACAGAAACAGAGGAAAAACTTTAAAATGGACAAGGACAGCTTATTCAAGAAATAGAAATGGTAGTAAACATGAATAAATTTTTAACATAACTAGAAAAGTAAAATAAATCCAAACAATGAAATATCATTTAAAAATATTTTATTTCACTTTTTTAAGTTAAACTATAGCTGATTTACAATGTTGTGTTAGTTTCGGGTATACAGAATAGTGATTCAGTTATACATATGTATATGTGTATATGTATATCAATCTATGTATCTTTTCTTTTTCATATTCTTTTCCCTTATAGGTTATTATAAAGTATTGAGTATAGTTCCCTGTGCTATACAGTAGGACCTTGTTGGTTATCTATGTTATACATAGTAGTGTATATATGTTAATCCCAAACTCCTAATATATCCCTTCCCCCCTTTCTCCTTTGGTAACCATAAGTTTGTTTTCTATGTCTGTGGGTCTATTTCCATTTTGTCAATAAGTTCATTTCTATAATTTTTTTAGATTCCACATATAGTGATATCATATGATATTTGTTTTTTTTCTGTCTGACATCACTTTGTGTGATAATCGCTAGGTCTGTCCATTTGCTGCAAATGGTATTATTTCATTCTTTGATTATGACTGAATAATATTCCATTGGGTATATGTACCACATCTTCTTTATTCATTTTTCGATGAACATTTAGTTTGTTTCCATGTCTTGGCCATTGTAAATAGTGCTGCAGTGAAACATTGGGGTGCATGTATCTTTTTGAATTATATCTTTCTCCATATATATATTCCCAGGAGTGGGATCCCTGGATCATATGGTAACTCTATTTTTAGTTTCTTAATGAACCTCCATACTGGTTGCACCAATTTAAATTCCCACCAATAGTGTACGAGGGTTCCCTTTTCTCCACACCCTCTCTAGCATTTATTATTTGTAGACTTTTTGATGATGGGCATTCTGTCTGGTATGAGGTGATACCTCATTGTAGTTTTGATTTGATTTTCTCTAATAATTAGCGATATTGAGCATCCTTTCATGTGCCTGTTGACCATCTGTATGTCTTCTTTAGAGAAATGTCTTTTTAGGTCTTCTGCCCAATTTTGGATTGGGTTATTTGTGTTTTTTTTTCTTTATATTGCGCTGTATGAGCTGTTTCTATACTTTGGAAATTAATCCTTTGTCTGTCACATCATTTGCAAATACTTGTTCCCACTCCGTAGGTTGCCTTTTTGTTTTCTTTATGGTTTCATTTGCTGTGCAAAAGCTATTAAGTTTAACTAGGTCCCATTTATTTATTTATTTATTATTTCCATTACTCTGGGAGACAGAGCAAAAATGATATTGCTATGATTTATGTCAAAGAGTGTTCTGACTGTTTTACTCTAGGAGTTTTATAATATCTAGTCTTATATTTAGGTCTGTAAACCGTTTTGAGTTTATTGTTGTATATGATCTTTGAGAATGTTCTAATTTCATTCTTTGACATGTAGCTGTACTGTTTTCCTAGCATTCTTTATTGTAGAGACTGTCTTTTCTCCATGGTATATTCTTGCTCCTTTGTCATAGATTAATTGACCATAGGTGTGTGGGTTTATTTCTGGGCTCTCTATACTGTTCCATTGACCTATATTTCTGTTTTTGTGCCACTACAATACTGTTTGGATTACTGCAGCTTTGTAGTGTAGTCTGAAGTCAGGGAATGTGACTCCTCCAGCTCCGTTCTTCTTTCTCAAGACTGCTTTGGCTGTTAGGGGACTTTTGTGTTTCCATACAAATTTTAAAATTATTTGTTCTAGTTCTGTGAAAAATGACCTTGGTAATTTGATAGGGATTGCACTGAACCTGTAATTGGCCTTGGATAGTAAAGTCATTTTGACAAAATTGATTCTTCCAATCCAAGAACATGGTGTATCTTTCCATCAGTTTGTGTTGTCTTCAATTTCTTTCATCAGCATTTTATAGGTTTCCAAGTACAGGTCTTTTGCCTTTTTAGGTAGGTTTATTCCTAGGTATTTTTTTCTTTTAGATGTGATGGTAAATGGGATTTTTTTCCTTAATTTCTCTTTCTGATCTTTTGTTGTTAGTGTATAGAAATGCAACAAATTTCTGTGTATTTATTTTGTATCATTCAACTTTACTGAATTCATTGATGAGCTCTAGTAGTTTTCTGGTGGCATCTTTAGGAGTCTCTATGTACAGCATCATCTGCACACAGTGACAGTTTTACTTCTTCTTTTCCACTGTCGATTCCTTCTATTTCTTTTTCTTCTGTGATTGCTGTGTCTAGGTCTTCCAAGACTTTGTTGAATAAAAGTGGTGAGTGTGGGCATCCTTGTCTTGCTCCCCATCTTAGAGGAAATCCTTTCAGATTTTCGCTGTTGAGTATGATGTTAGCTGTGGGTTTTTCATATATAGCCATTATTATGTTAAGGCGTATTCCCTCTATACCTACTCTCTGGAGAGTTTTTATCATAAATGGATGTTGAATTTTATCAAAAGCTTTTTTGTCTCTATTGAGATGATCATATGGTTTTTATTCTTCAATTTGTTAACGTGGTGTGTCACACAGATTGATTTGTGGATATTGAGAAAAACTGCAAAAAATACAAACATGTGGAGGCTAAAAATATGCTACTAAACAACCAATGAATCATGGAAGAAATTAAAGAGAAAATCAAAAAATACCTAGAGATAAATGAAAATGAAAACATGATGATCCAAAACCTATGGGACGCAGCAAAAGTAGTTCTAAGAGGGAAGTTTATAGTAATACAGTCGTACCTTGGGAAACAAAAAATCTCAAATAAACAACCTGACCTTACACCTAAAGCAACTACAGAAAGAAGAACAAACCAAACCCATAGTTAGTAGAAGGAAAGAAATCATAAAGATCAGAGCAGAAATAAATAGAGACTAAGAAGACAATAGAAAAGATCAATGAAACTAAAATGGAACCCGGGTCTCTGACTCACAGGAGCAGAGGAGGTTATAGACCATGTCTTTGAAAACTGTGCGTGAGTCAGAATTAAGCTGGGTTGTATTAAGTCTTTGAGATTGTTGTCTAGTAAAATCATGACATTCAGAACTTTAAGAAACTGCTTGTTTTTTCATGGTGTAAATCTGGCTCCTTGTTGTTGAGGTTAGGTGAGCTGGGAATGAAATGATTTGGGGGCATACTGGGGAGAAAATTTCAAGGCAGAAGATGAGTTGTTTTTTTTTGTCCTGATTAACAATGAAATGAAAACCATAATTTCTACCAACATTGTGGAACAGCTTAGGGATGTGCCAGAAGCAAGTTTCTGTAGAGAAGGAGGGGATGATAATAATCTCCTTGCAAGATAACCAAAATTTGGGCTAAGGCAGCAGTATTAGAGATTACTTAGAAAAGGTAAAGAAAGGTACGTGCAACAGGGTATATGGAATAAAAGAAAGGGACTGAAAAAAAATGACAATAAATATGAAGTCTGTATCCTTAGCTTCTGGTTCAGGGATACACACATCAAATGTTCTGGAGAATAATGGCATTGATAAGAAAGCAAAAAAAAAAGTAATAAAATTGATTTATTGTACTAAAATGCACTTATATGAGTTAAGTCATTTAAGTATTTATTAAGCACTTTCTATGTGCTGTTATTAGCATTAAAACAATTAATAAAGCATGAGTCCTGCGGTCAAGTATGATGATTACAGGGAATGAGTGACTTTCCCAGGGGAATGGATTGGCTCGCCGGTCCAGGCAGCCAGTTCTCAGCTCTGACCTCTAGACTGTCTCTTATGCTCTAGCACAGGAGTTTGCCAACAACAACACGATCTGTTCTTTGTACTCACTGCCTCAAGACAAAAGTGATCCTAGAAACAGAACTTGGTGTTTACAAAAAAGTGAGGAACATGATAAAGGAATTAATTAATGGAGAACAGTAGATTGATTTTGTAAATTGGAAAGCTACACAGAAGCATATTTAGATGTCTCAGCTTAATTAGTGCCACTGAATGAAATCTAAGTAGACTTATGATTTAAGTACAAAAGGAGAAAAAAAACCTAGAAGAAATCGTTGCGGGCTAATTTTAAGTGAAAAAAACAGGATATAAACTTTTCTGTGTAATTTTAATCATGTAACATAATTGCAGAGCATTATTTAAAAAAAACCCAGACTAAAAAATGGGCAGAAGACCTGAATAGATGTTTTTCCAGAGAAGAAATGCAGATGAACAACAGGTACATGAAAAGATGCTAAACATCACTAATCAACAGGGAAATGCAAATCAAAACCACAAAGAGATATCACCTCACACCTGTAAATATGGATATTAACAAAAAGAACACAAATAACAAGTGTTGGCGAGGATGTGGAGAATAGGGAATCCTCCTCCGCTGTTGGTGGGAGTGCAAATTGGCGCAGCCACTATTGAAAACAATATTGAGGTTCCTAAAAATCTAAAAATAGAGCTACCATATGATGCAGCAATCCACTCCTGGGTATATATCCGGAAAAAAGAAAACACTAATTTGAACAGATACATGCACCCCAATATGCATTTCAGCATTATTTATAATAGCCAAGATATAGAAACAACCGAAGTGTCCATCAACAGATGAATGGATAAAGAAGATGTGGTATGTGTGTATACACACACACACACACACACACACACACACACAATGGAATACTACTCAGCCATAAAAAAAATGAAGTCCTGCCATTTGTGACATGAATGGACTTGAGGGGTATTATGCCTCGTGAAATAAGTCAGAAAAAGAGAAATAACATGTTATCACATATATGCAAAATCTAAAAAAATAAAATGAATAAATACAACAAAAAGAAACAGGCTCAGAGATGATACAGAACAAACTAGTTGTTACCAGTGGGAAGAGGGAGGGGAGGAAGGACAAAATAAGCGTAGAGGATTAAGAGGTACAAACTATTATGTATAAAATAAAGAAGATACAGGATTTATTATACAGCACAGGGAATACAGCCAATATTTTATAATAACTTTAAATGGAGTCTAATCTTTAAAAATACTGAATCACCATGTTATATACCTGAAACTAATGTAATATTGTAAATCAGCTATACTTTAATAAAAAAATAATTTCGTAGCCAAAATACTAGATGTATACAACCTCTTCAAGAAAATGTATCACAAGTGGTCATAAAATCTGGGTGGTAAAATTATGGGCTATTTAAAAATTTTTCATTATGCTTTAATGAAGTATAATGCTATCATGAGTATGCTTTACTTTCATAATCAGGAAAAAAAATCCTTCTATTGTAAATACTAATGGCTTATATTTATCAAGCATTTACTATATGCCAGGTGTCAGTCTAAGTGCTTTATCCATATTGACTGCTTTCATCATAGCAACCCTAAGAGGGAGGGATTCTTATTATCTGCATTTTCCAGATGAAACTCAGGAAGGGCAGCTCATCCAGTGCCACATATCGGGGCAGGGCTGGAGCTGGGATTCACACCCAAGGACGTGCCTCCAGAGACTGCTCTTAGCCACTAAGCTAATCAGTAGCTGAGCTGAATGACTGTATTTCCCCTGGTTTAGACCAGGAGACTAATTCCGTAACCCAAAATCTATTATGATCTTAGTAAGGAGATAATGTATCTGATAGGCAAACATTATGCCTTGGGTTGGTGGGCAACGATAGATATCTCTTGCCATTTTATTAAGATATTACTTTAAAGAAAAAATATAGCTTTTCTTCCTGTTTTACCTCTTTCTTAAAGGCTTTCTCTTCAATCAGTTTTCTTACATCATGAAGGCCCTTAATTTTAACCCATAAAAACATTCCAGCAGTAGGAACATGCCATTCTGCCAAACCTACAAACGAAAGAAGAGAGGAAATGTTTCCCGAGACCATTTTTGATGATGTCAGCTATATCGCTGAAATGACAAATTGCAGTAACTGTAAACTAGTATTTCCAAAAAAGTTCCTTTGGTGATAGCATTTTTTAAAAATATAGTTTTAGGAGTCCTGAAAATTGGTGTTCTGAGTTTTATTTTAAAAAGTGAGGGGAGGGTTTGAAAGGGAGAGAGGGGACTCGTGTATCTTTCTGATTTTTGTGGGTCTCAGGGCAGTGCAGGAAATCCAGTGCCATGCCCACCTCCCTTTCTTAGAACTGTCCCTAAGCCAAACGTGGCTCTTTCAATTTTAGAAGAGGATTCCTCAACCCTTTCTAGAGCCTTCTAGTGTTTCATTAAATCCTATCGCTTACATAATCGTTCAGAAGTCCAATGAATTGAAGTTTTTATTGCAATGTAATTAAGAAGTACTTAAAATTCAGGAAAACCGGGTGTATTTGTAGGCTTTATATTTCATTGAACATAAGGATAGAGAAACCAAGAAGGAACAAGAGTTATTTTGATTTTGATTATTACCTTTAAAAAAAAAAACCTTGATGTTGATTAAAACCTTTTTTTCAACTTCACTATAGGAAATGGTAGAATAGTACTCTTATCAAAAAGATAGTAATTGTGTTTTTACCAGGACTACATAGGGAACAAGATATGAGGGAAATAAGAAGGGAATACTTTGTATTTACTATTATTCCTACAAAAGGCATTTTTAGTGGTGTAATTAAAGCTGGGTAATTCATTTTACTTTCTTCCTTAATAGAAAGGTAAGCTGTGACAAAACGAGAGAGAGGCATGGACATATATACACTACCAAACGTAAGGTAGATAGCTAGTGGGAAGCAGCCGCATAGCACAGGGAGATCAGCTCAGTGCTTTGTGACCGCGTGGAGGGGTGGGATAGGGAGGGTGGGAGGGAGGGAGATGCAAAAGGGAAGAGATATGGGAACATATGTATATGTATAACTGATTCACTTTGTTATAAAGCAGAAAGTAACAAAACAAAGAGTAATTTAAAAATTAAAAAAAACAAATAGCAAAAAAAAATCTAAAGCATTTTGAAATCAAATTAGCAATAGAAATACTACTGATTAATGAGGTTAATGATTAAAAGGCAAATCATCTGTAATGAGAAATCCACCTTAGACTGTACTTAGTTTGTACTATTGTACTGTTTTGTCTTTATAGAGTCTAGTTAGAAAAGGAATATGTTATGTCACAATTCCTCTTCTATTTGGAGCAAAATTTTGAAAACCTTTTGAGTACAGATATTATTTAGCTTTAAGTAGATTATTGCTGATGTTAGACTAATTGGCCAGTTTTCTTTAAACCACAGATTCTTTGTAGCAGTCAAGTATAGTAGAAATGCGTAGAATCGTGCCAGGGTTTGTGCTCTTACTTC